CTGCCTACATCTCCCACCTCCTTCGTCTCTCCTCCCACCTCTCATCTGTGTATGGTTGTACGGGGCCTGAGCATCGTCTATGGTTGGCTCAGACCGCACCATCTCACGATTGTTTGTGTGTTGAGTGATATCTGTATGAGTCAGTCTATGTGAGTCAGTCCATTTATCAGACTTCCGCTGCATACATGCTCATCCTATATTGGTTGATCTTTGGTTCTGCCCAGACTTGTTGAAGTATTCACGAGTATGCAACAGGACATTTGTTCATGGCCTAAGTTGAACTTCTCAGGGCTCAGGGCTACCCGATCACAATGGCTGGAGGCGCCAGGCAAAAAAGAAAAGAAGTGCACCACTGGCGGTTCAGACGAGCTTGGCGCAAAGTGCAGCGCCTCCAGACATCACTTCCAGCCTCCCTAGGCCACTCACCAAACTGGAAAACACGTGAGTGCATCTTTTAGTGCATATTTCAGGGAGTCAATTATGAACTCAACAGCCCCCCTAAGGGCCTCCCTCCACCACTCACCAATTGTGCATGATGAGACTAAATCTTCCCCTATGACATGGAAACATGCAACACCATGGTGTTTTCCTCATTCGTGCATGGTTATGTCTTTAGTGCATGTGTTGGGTGGTGGAGCAAGGCCGTAATTGTCTTGCAGGCACTCAAAAACAGGCAATGACTATTTGGGACATCTTAGTTCGCAGCCCGTCAGGGGTGCGTTTCCCCCCCCTGAGACATTTCGTCGTCCTTCGTTATACCGGTCGTTGATTCGGGCTCGTTTGGTCATTGGTGGTTCAAAAAATGCAGGCAGGTGCAGGCACGACACTTTGGGGGGGGGTGGCAGTTCCTTTGAAAAATGCGGGACCGGTAGCTGCCCGTGGGACCGCACGCTGGGTTTTGGTCGAAACGGTGGCAAAGCAGAGGCAGGGTGGAAAAGTGGAAAAGTTTGAAATCGGAAAGGGCGCGGACCTGCATTGCATTTGCACGTGCATACTTCTAAACCTCACCATCATGCGACAGATGCAAGGGAATGTACAAGGTAGGGTGGTGACGTGAAGTAGTCACAACCAAAGTAGTTGAAGCCGATAAGATGGCTGAAGTCGAGAAGGTGACTGAGGTCGTCGAAGTGGTCGATGACGTCGATGAAGTAGGAGTCGAGGTCGATGTCGAAGCAGAGCCGCAAAATGCTGACATCCTGAAGAAGCTGATGATGAAGTACCTGATGGTGTGAGTCAATTGGGTGATAGTAGGTGATCAGAGTGTCAATCGTCAGGGCGTCGAGGACGTCGACGAGTGCGCTGTGGACGCGCGTAGGCGTCAATCTGCTGCTAAAGTCCTCAACAATCTCCTCAGCCGGAGGAGGAGGAAGAGGGTCAGTCGGCTGAGTAGGAGCAGATGTCTCAGCACGACGAGCACGATCATATGCACGCACTAACATCCGGGCATGCCAGGTGCTCGAGGGGTTCCCAAGTAGCCTCCTCATCAGGATAACCCTTCCAACGCACAAGGTACTCGATGCGTGGAGGGGTATCGTCGGTAACTCGACGAGATACGATGTCGGAAACGACGAACTCCTCGTGACCGTCCACCATGATAGGTGGAGGGCGCTCGTAAGGACGTCCGGCGAAGCGCTCGGATGGTCTGCAATGAGGACGCAGCAAGAAG